GGCGCACTAGAAGAAGCTGGCCTTGAACGTGTTGAGTTTGAGATGTCGCTGGGCAGGGGTGTCTAGCTAGAGCAGTTCCCACAGCATCGGTGCCACCTGGGGGCTTGTTACAAATGCAGACTCAGAGCCCAGCCACCACCCTCCCACCCTGACCTCCTGAATCAGAAGCTGCAGTTTGACAGGATCCCCGGACACTTGCATGCCCGTCCCAGGTGAGAAACAGGTGCCAGTCCAGAGCTTATTTGGGTCTGTGGGATTGATGCTCCAAAGAGGGGTCTGGGCCGGCCACAGAAGTGTGGGTGTTGTCAGTTACAGGTGGTGGCTGTAGATGACACGCTTCCAGGGGTCGTGTGTAGAGCTGGAAAGAGGGAGACTAGTGGTGGTGTCTTTGCCTGAATCTTCCCACTGCCTGGTCAGGATTAACCTCGCCAAGCTGCACAGCGCCACCCGTAGTGAGCCCCGGGTGGCAGCCAGCCTGTTGTAGGGGATGTGTTTTCTGTACTTACTCCCTTTTCCAAAATGCAATTTGCAGCTGTTGTCTCAGGAGACAACAGGTTGCCCAGACGCCCACAGTTGGCCACTGGAAGACCTGGGACCAGAACCCGGTGTCAGAACCCTTCCTGTCCTGCTCTGGCCGTTGTGGGGGAGGGAAGTACCGCACACGATGCCCACCAGATGCTCGTAGACGTTCAGTAAAGGTTTGTTAAAGGTTGTGGAAACACTTGGAAACTGAATGATAAAAACTGCTTTCAGATTCAAGAAATGCATTCCTATTGGTAACCGCTGTTTGAGCTTTACAATGTTACTGTAGGGAAATAAGATGGGAATTATTCATGCTCTCACTTTTAAAAAGTGAGCTTTAGGGGAAGGTTATGGCTCAGTGGTAGAGCGCGTGCACGAGGTCATGGGTTCAGTCCCCAGTGCCTGCATTAAAATAAATAAATAAACAAACCTAATTACCTCCCCCACAAAAATAAATTTTAAAAAATACACTAAATAAATAAAGACTGAGAGAAAAAAATTTAAAAATTAAAATAAATAAATAAAAGATAAGAGCTTTGTTGAGGTGATTAACCTACCATAAAAGTCACCATTTAAAGTGTACAGTTCAGTGGGTTTTAGTGGATTTACAAGGCTGTGCAACCATCACCACTGTCTAATTGCAGAACATCACCCCCCCCAAAAAAAACCCAGACCCTCTAGCAGTCACTCCCTTCCCCACCCCCCACCCCCAGCCCCTGGTCACCACTGATCTGCCTTCTGTCTCTGTGAATTTGTGACATTGCCGATCAGTGGAATCGTGGAGTACGTGGCTTCTCGTGCCTGGCTCTTTTCACCTAGGACACTGTCGAGGGCCATCTGTGTTGTGGTCTGTATCAGTACCTCACCCCTTTTACGGCTGAGCAGTAATCCAGTCTATGGATGTGCTATGTTTTGTTTCTCCATTCATCAGTGGATAAGCATTTGGGTTGTTTCCATCTCTTGGCTATTATGGATAAATCTGTTATGAACATTCACGTACAAGTCTTTCCATGGACATATGTTTCCATTTTTCTTGGGTGTACACCTAGGATTGGAATCGCTGGGTCACATGGTAATACTACATTTAATTTTTTGAGAAACTTCCAGATAGTCTTCCAAAGTAACTGCATCATTTTACGTTCCCACCAGGAGTGCATGAGGGCTCCAGTCTCTCTGCATCCGCCCCAGCACTTGTTACTGTCTCTCCTTTTTATTACAGCCATCCTAGCCAGTGTACTCTCATTTATAGTTAAGAAAATTGAGGGCTTTTTTTTTCCTGAAGTTTGTAGAGCTAGCAAATACCAAGCTTGAACTTTTTTTTTAAGCAAATACTCAGTGAAGCATGCTCTGTGCACAGCATTATTTAAGTCATTTGCTCTCAAATTGTTTACCCGTTATAACAGCCTGGAAGCAAGCTACTGTTACCGTCTTTATTTGTACGTGCCTGCAGGGGCCCGGCCGGGCCTCGGACGCAGCATCTAAGGAGACATCACAACCCTGGGAGTGAGCGTCTCCCTAAATGTTGGGCCCTAAGTGCTTCCAAGGACCGAGGAACCTACCCAGAGTTTCACAACTGGCAGAGCTGGGATTCAAACCCAGGAAACCTGTTTCAGAGTCCAGGTCCCTAACCACTACACTGTGCCAATACTCATATCCTTGCGCTCCAAATCAGGCTTCTTCTAGTTCTTCCTCAAGGACGAACTTTCCAGAATTAGCTAGAACTTTGACACACGGGGAACCCCAAGTGAAATCCCAGGGACGGATTATCGGGGGACCAAGCAAGACGAATCAACCTCACAGCCCCCAGGCACCTGCCACGTGCGCCCCTGGAAGGGTTCGCTGGCCACACGCATCCCCGTGGCCCCACCTGTGCCTGCTCTTCCAGCTCCACATCAATCTGCCCGGTTCACGTCTGCCCGCTGCAAATGGCCAGATGGACTCTGTCCTGGTGGGGAAGAGGCCATTCTGAACGTCGGGTGTGCTCTGACCGGCCGTAAGGAAAGCACTGTTCTCCTGGCCAAGCGGGGACCGACCTGCCGCTGGTCCAGGTGTTCTGGGACCAGCACCCTGACTGGCTGCTCATTTTCTCTGTAGTCTGTGGATCGGAATTGACGGTCGTCTGTGGTGGAATCACCCGCTTTCCTGCGGTGTTGCGGTCTGGGTGGGTTCTAAGCAGGTCTCCGGTTTAGGCCGTGCCTCCCACCAGGCAGTGTGAGTAGAAAAATACACATTTGCATGTGTGCACGTTACCCTTTTGGGGGTGATGGCAGCCTCTGGAAAGACACTGACACCCGTCATCAGCCAGCTGTGGCTTCTACCTCCCCCGGTCAAGGTCAAGGTCAAGGTCAAGTCAGCCTAGATTCAGCACTTCTCACTGAGCTGCAGCCACACAGCCTGGCCCAGACCAGCAGATTTTTGTGTATGTCACAAACTCACAGGTTCTTAAAACAATTTCATGGCTAGCTCTCTCCATTAAACATGACACATTTTACTGTTGAATTCTCACTCTTCTGTTTGGAATTTCAATTCCACTTTATGACTTCCACCGTGGGTCTGTGGACCAGCATCACCTGGGAGCTTGTTGGAAATGCAGAATCCTGGGCGCCACCCAGACCTCCTGAGTCAGAATCTGCCTCTCGGCAAGGTTTCTAGGCGACTCCTGTGCCCATTCAAGTTTGAGAAGCATCTTTCCGTGTGTCTTCCTTTCTCTGTTACCTGCAGCGGGGGCTCCACCCAGTACTTACCTTGAAGCTAGAATTTTTGGCAGGCTTTCAGATCTTAAAAAGAAAAAAGAAAAAAGATACGCACACACAGAGAAATTCTTCCCTTCGCCTTTGTATGATGTTATTCATTTTCCCTGGCCTGCCACAGGGAGAAAAAAGCAAATTACACCCAATTCTGTCTCTCTCTCTTTCCTATATATATATATATATATATATATATAAATAAGACTAACTTAATTACATCTCTTTAAGCAGCATTCTGGATCGCCCCCATCATTAACAGAGCCCCAAGTGTTGCCAAGATTAATTGAGAAATGCCGAAAGGCAAAATAAACATGAGCACCGTTTAATTCAAAGCCATATCAGCTAAGAATGAAGGTGCAATTAGTGATAAAGATGTTAATAATTAGTTGTGGTCTGTTAAATTTTATATTCAGTGGTTATGTAGAGGGAAGAAAGAATTTCCTCATGAGGGCAGAAATTAATGTTTCACCTTGATTGCTATTTTGATGTGTTTATTTTAATGGGGCCATCCTGCAGAAATCCTCGGGCACATTTCCAATTTTACATACACGTAGAATTAATTATTCTGGAAGCATTTGTAATTTCAGAGTTGGAACGATCTTCGCGGTCGTTTAATCCAGTTCAGTCATTTTACAAATAAGTGAGAGTGAGAGACTGACTTAAGTCCTTCCATGGGGTACGGGAGCCTTGCTTCCCAACCCTCAGACGAGTGACGGTGACGCCAGCTCCGAGCGCCCCAGGCAGAAGCGCGCTCTCGCGCTCAGACTTCCCAGAGCACTTTTTTGGCTGGGTTGCTCCCAAGGCCCTTCCCCACCTTGTGCTGTGTTCTGGGTGCTTTCAACTGGACAGTTACGGTCTTGGGAACCCTGTTTGATTCGCTTTTATATTTCTTCACCATTCCTAGCTCTGTATTTTGCAAGCAGCGTGTGCACGGTGACTTTGCCTGCAGCGGTGGGCGGGAGCGGACGTTTCCCTGCTTGCTGGAGCTGATGGGGCCTCACGCTGGTAGCTTGAAATTGGCCAGTTGTTAACATCTACCAGCACACCACCGCATACATGGTTTTCATGAGAACTCGCAAGGCACCTGGCCTTGACGAGATCTGAAGACACACACCGACGTGGAGGTGACCACTTGGCGGTTACTCCGCACGGGTTGACTCAAGAGTAACCAGTTGCTCAACCTCCTCTAGTTTCTTCAGGGGCTGAGTCTGACCCAGTGCAGGTGAGGCCGTGGGGCTGCACAGGAGGCAGCTGCTTAGCCAGGTTCCACTTACCTGCAAAGTTATATAGGCGCCAGTGGTCATGGAAACAGGGTCTGAATTACCGGGCACAGTCGAGTGAGGGAAACCCCACGGGCTGTTATCAGTGAACAGGAAGTTACTGCGGCCGAAATTGCAATTTCTGTCTTCATATTTTTCAAACAGCCTTCAGTGGCTCCCTGCAACCTACAAAAATGCCCAAACTCCCTCAGTCACACACGGGCCGTGGCTTAGCGTTCGATCCTCCTTTTCCACCTGTTCCGGCCTCCGTGGTGTTTCCTTGCCCTGGAAAGCCCTCCTTCCAGAGGGTGAACGTCATCTTCACGTTGGTGTGAAGGATTTCCCTGTTCCACCCCAGGCTTTCTGTATGGTTTCTGTTCCTCCCCAGTCCCTTACACCACAGTCCAGAGCTTCTGGGTTTACTGAAAATCCTATGACTCGTTCGTCTCTTCTCCTGTGTGTCTCCCTTTAGGAGCAGGACCCGCGGTCCCATTGGCCCTGGCAAGTACGGCTACGGCAAAGCCCCGTACATCCTACCCCTGCAGACGGATTCTGCGCACTCACCGCAGAGGCTTCGGAGACAGAGGCCCTCCTCCCGGAATTCCAGGTCCCAGGGAGCATCAGGTTCCAGCCACGGCTACAACCCTGCAGCCCAGCGGGCCCCCCAGCACGGACCTCTGTACCAGAGCGACAGTGGCCCTCGTTCTGGACTGCAGGCCTCCGAGAGTTCCAGCTACCAGCTGCCTCTGACCCAAGACCAAGGCTTCCCTGCAGCCTCCAGTCTCTTCCACGGCCCAGAAACAAGCAGCGGGCCCGGCGCGGGGGCCCCCGGGGCGGCCCAGGGCTTCTCCCAGCCCGCGCGGGCCGTGGCCATCTCCTGCATCGGGGCCTACCGGCGGTACAGGCTGTGCAACACGGACGTGAGTACCCGCCCCGGGCCGCCTGCTGGCCAGCAGACGGCGGGGGAGGCGGGGAGGGCACCGGCCTTCAGGCCGCGGCAGGGCCCCTCTGGTTCCCATCCTTCCCATTCCTCTCCGTGTTTTCTCCCGCACGCTTTTCTTTTCAATAGTGTAATTTTCCCTTTTAATAATTCTTTTAATGGTAATACTACTTCAGTAACTTAGGAAGTAACTTCTTGAATCATTTTGTTCACTGCTGATTTTATTATTAATAGCGATATTTTTATTTCTGTTGAAGTAGAGTCAGTTCACAGTGTTGTGTTGCCTCCTGGTGTGTGGCGCAGGGATTCGGCTCTGTGGGCACATGTGCTCCTTTTCACGTCCTTCCGCGTTACAGGCTGTTACAGTGCATGGAAGGTAGTTCCGCGGGCTGTGCAGCGGGACCTGGCTGATCTTCGGATCGCTTGATGATCACTGTTGCTGCCTATCAGACGACCCCCGTATTCTCAGTGGCTTCCTGTCAACAGTATTTTTTCTTTGCTGGTGGGCCTGTGCGTCAAGTACAGTTTGGCGAGTTTAGGGCAACCAGTGATGGTGCCACAGCTGTGGGGGTTTGGGGAGGCTTGACTGGCATGGCTATCGCCCAGTAAGTTTCCTGGAGGCTCCCTGCTCTTCAGGGCATGAAGACTTCGGATATCGTGCCACGAAAAATTCTGATAGTGAATGACTTGCCGAAGATTCCGCAGCTGTTGAGGAGCAAAGGAAATCATACGTGGAAACTACATGAGATGACCAAACGTGTTTTACAAAAATACAGGTTTAAAGACTATATATAAAAGGGAAAGGAATAACAGAATGTTTAAAGGTTAAATTTCCAAATTGCTGTGTTTTCTCATTAATAATTTAATCTGCCTTTAATGCTCTGTTACTGGGTAACAGGACAGCTGTTCTGTATTAGCTTCAATTTCCTCATTAAAAATATATTTCCTGCTAGAGAGTCCACAGAAATGACTTAATTTGTGATTTTAATAATTCCTCTGAATGTCTGGGTTGCTTTTCAGCTTATTCTTCCACTGACAGACTTCAGGAATTATTAATTTTTGTAAAGCAACAGTTTTTCCAAAGCCATTACTCATCGGTCTACCACTCAGTCTTGACTGAGCATCACTGCTTGTCTTGTAACGGACCAGGCTCCATGGAAGACCAGAGGAAAGTCGTGTTACCCACCCCACGGGGTTGTTACGAGGATCAGACAAGGAGATGTTAAGAAAGTGCTTCATAAATCAGAAGGAGTATTTGTGTCCATGATTGGTCCCTGTTCTTGAATATCCATTGCAATTCTTTAGAATTGAAATGAAGTCATTTCTAATGTAGAACACGTTCTCCCATGGGCTAGTAATTGTCTTAATTTTGAGGACCGCATAAATCATAAAAAGAAGGGAAAAGAGAGCAGGCACTTGGCATATATACGGACCTGCAATCTACTTAGCGCTTCTTTCACTGAGCCTGCGTTTTAGGCACTCACTGTGTGCCAGACCCGTGCTGCCCACAGCAGGGCGGCCTCTCCCCGTGGAGGAGCTGTGGTTTCCCTGGGTGTCGCTGACCCCACTGCTGAGGGGCCTGAGGTGTGAGGAACATTTTAAACCTCTTGTGAATTCACGGTTGTCGGTGTCATTTTGGAAGTAGGTAAACCGACGCGTCACACTGAGGACAAAGCAGTAATGCTGACGGAGGAGTATACACGCTCAGTTCCCTTCCTCTCACCCTAGCGTTCTGCGCCCCTTCACCCCACATCACATCCTACTCACCCTTGTTGAGAGGTGTCTTTCCTTAGAGGCCCCTGACTGCATGTCTTCCTATAAGCCCGTGGCTTCTTGTGACTTGGGCCACTTTAAATACTTCATGTGGCCCGTGAACACTTCAAAGCTCCCTGTGTTAGTGGTTTCCAAAGCCACTCCTAGGTTTAACGAGTTGCTGGGAAGACTCACAGACTCAACACAGTCCCCTGCGCGGTTGTGGTTTATTACAGTGAAAGGACACAGAGGAAAATCCGCAAAGAGAAAGGTGCATGAGGCCACGTCCTGAGGAAGGCAGGCCTGGTCTTCCAAGGGTCCCGTCCCTGTGGGGTCGCCCAGGGGTGCTCACTCCCCCAGCAATGAGAGCCTGCACGTGTGAAGCGCTGTCCACCAGGGACGCTCACCAGAGGTTCTGTGGCCGAAGTTCACGCTGGGAGCCGGTACGCGGGCACCCCCGCCTGCTGCATGCTGGGATTCCAGGCTCCCCCGAAGACAGCAGTGCTTAGCATGAAGCGTATCACTGGTGCGTATAGCTGGGGCACGGTGAGTCACTCTTGCCGCTTAGGGAGTGGTGGAAACCCTTCCAGAACCCAAGCCCCCACCCGTCAGCCAAGGACCAACTTTGCAAGCAGGCCTGTCTAAGGAGAGCAGTTGTGGTCCTGTTGTGTTAAGCCTTATTTGCATCTTCTCCACGTGGACCCATGTGCTCCGGCACCTTAGCGTCGGTGACCTTATGTGGACATGTGCGTAGACTCCTCAGCGTCCGCATGAAGAGATGGCATGAACCCTCCAGTTATGTAAATCTTCCTACTCAGAAAGGAACAGGGTGACGGGCGATATTGTGACCAGTCTCGCTAATCCCCCAGGGGAGGCCGGCCGTCACCTGCGTCCTCCTCAAAGATTGAAAAAGAGCGTGTGCGTGGAGAGTCCTTGCCCAGCTGTTATCTGGGAGAAGGGAAAGTAAGCCAGGGCGGGCTGGAAGTACCCGCTGATTTCAGAACTTCACCCCTTAAGCTAAGTGCCCAGAACATCCCACCCCGGCTCTGGGTGGATTGCCCCCCTTTCTAGGGCTCCCCCACAGGGAAAGGCTCCGTTCTGAGGCGCGAGGTCGTGCAGGTGACGGGCGGTCTGAATTAGGGGAGGTGTTTTTGCTTCCGTATCTCAGAGCCATGTCCCCTCACTGGTCGCGATCCCTCCCTCGAGGCCCTTCTGGCCCAGTGGCAGAGAAGGCGCTGAATGCAGCTGCTTGTGGCCGTTGCGGCTGGCGCTGGGGCGCTTAGTGAGGGGGAAGAACCCTGGGAGCGCAGGGCAGGAGGCCACAGCGTTGGAGAAGACGCCACTGAGAAGGGCACGGTTGAGCTGGGCCTTCAAGGATGCCCAAAAAAGGGAACAGAGCGTTTGGAACCAAAGAAATAGCTTAGTCAGGAAGGCAGGATTGTGTCAGGATCTCGGGTGCTGCGACGCCTGCCAGGGGAATAGGGACCTGCCTTCCTGCCCCCCCGCCTCCTCCTATCCACTGTAAATGACCGCAGTCTTAACTGGGTGTTTATTCTGTAGGCATCTCACAATACGGACACGTCACACGGTCTTACTGGACTTTCATACTTGAGGTAGATGGCGAGAAACTTACTAAACATAGGGAACAGTCAGAAAGCAACTCGAATCAGCTGGCTCAATTGGATGCTAGGCCTGCAGTGCAGGATGGGGTGGTGGTTTGGAGGGAGCTCCACACTGGGGAGCTGAGTTTCCTTGGGCAAGTTAGTTAACTCTCCGAGGGCCCTCAGTGGAGTAGGCACGGCGATGAGGGTGATGTGAGCTCCAGGTAAGGTCCTGTGTGGACGGTGCTCGGCGGGTGCCGACACTTCGTTAGTAAACGAACCATCTGGACCTGAGGAAGTGAGCGTGGCCGACCTGCCTCTCTGGAGGTGAGAATGGGGGTAGGTGTCTGCACAGCTCAACAGGCCCCTGCTCCTGAGTGCGAAGTCTGAGCTGCGGGCGAGATGCGCAGGCGTGCTCGGAGTCGCCGTCTGGCCTCGGGGCCAGCTGTGGTTGGCAGCCTTTCCCGTTGCCCGGCAGTAAGACAAGACTGCTCGGAGACCCGGCGTCCCAGCTGCGCCGTTGCTTCCAGTCACCGCCCTCGGGTCATGTTTCAGGTTACGAAAGTGAAGCCATGTGACGTCTTCCTACCCTCAGACGTGCGTGTTTAACGTTAAGCCCTACCTTACGACGCCATCTGGGAATTTTAAGCGTGCTGGGGTGTCTTCGGGATTTATGTGAGATGAAATAGCACTTCGAAATCAATCACGAATGCAGCAGTGGTGATCTCTGAATGCTGACCTCAAACATAAGAAAGGTTTTACTTTTCACTGGCCTACGATGTGTACCAGGAAGTTAAGGGGACACATTCCATATAAATAAAGAATCCATGTCTCGGCGGTTGTGAACGGTGCTGCGGTGAACACTGGGGGGCCTGTGTCTCTTTGAATTAGAGTTTCCTCCTGGCACACGCCCAGGCGCGGGGCTGCTGGGCCACAGGGTGGGGAGCCGGCACGCCGTCCTCCGCGGCGGCTGCCCCAGTCTGCGTTCCCACCAGCAGTGTAGGGGAGTTCCTTTCTCCCCGCACCCTCCCCAGCATTTGTCATTCGTGGACTTTTGAATGATGGCCGCTCTGACTGGTGTGAGGTGACGCCTCATTGTAGTTTTGATTTGCATTTCTCTGATAATTGGTGATGTTGAGCGTGTTTCAGGGGCCCGTTGGCCATCGGGATGTCTTCTTGAGAGTAATGTCTATTAAACAGGGACCTCCTGAATAGCACAGGGAGCTATATTTTCTTGTAATGAGCGGTAATGAAAAAGAATCTGAAAAAAAAGTATGTGTGTGTGTAACTGAGTCACTTTGTTGCACACGTGACACTAACATGGGAAACTGACTACACTTCAATACAAAATAAGAATTAAACAAAGACCCTTAGGATCTTTTAGAGCAGTCATCCGTCTGAGACACCTGCTGGTGCAGCAGTTCAAGTCACTCACTGTTGCGGGTTTGTACTTGGAATCCATGAACACAGCGCCGACATTGACCAAGGGGTCAGGGACACTGAAATCAGAGCGAGCTCGGACCCCAAGCAGCTCGGGGTCGGTAGGAGAGACTCCTAAGTAGGTAACAGCAAGTGTGGCGCGCAGGCACCGCTACACACGCCGCGCAGGCACCTTGAAGGCTCCAGG